ACCTTCAGGGGGGTAGCCCACACTTGGTACAGGAACCTGGCCCCCGGGTCGATAAGATGCTGGGCCCAGTTCGTGCAGGTCTTCACCGCACACTTTGTCACCAGCAAGCGGTGCCCCGGAACAAAGGAAAACATCTTCGGAGTAGTCCAGAGRGAAGGAGAATCCATCCGGGGCTACATCAAGCGGTTCAATGAAGCATGCTTACAGATACCACGATTAGACCCCGCGGTGCAGCTCGCGGCGGCCAAGAGAGGAGTAACGCACAAAGAATTCAAATGGCACATGGTAGCTAATGAGCCCGCAACCGTGGCCGAATTCCTCAAGCTCGTGGATAAGTTCATGAGAACAGAGGAAGAAATCAACCAACGGACCGAAAGCGGGAACGAGAAAAGAAAGAGGGAAGGCGAGCCCTCCAACCCAGTCGATAGAAAAAACCCGGCCCGGGAGCCGAAGCCGAACCAGTCGTCCCGAGCTCCCTTAGCAGTTCAGACGGATTACACGCCGTTAAACACGAGGCGAACTGAGATCTTAATGATGATCAAAGATGCCCCATACGTAAAGTGGCTACCTCGCCTAAAGGGAAATCCGAACGAGAGAAATAAAAATTTGTACTATAGTTTCCATAGAGACCACGGTCATAGTACCGAACAGTGTAATAATCTCTGGGACGAGATAGAGGGACTCATCCGTCGCGGATACTTAAGGAATTTTGTACAACATGATAATAATAACAATAAGGCAGGTCGGCAAGGGGAGCATGGAAAGGATGCCCCCGAATCTAGCAGCAGACTAGTCGAACCGTTGCAGCGACAGCCTCCAAAAGAGAGGCCAGCTCGGGGAACCATCCATGTAATTGTGGGAGGTTCGGTGGCAGCAGGGTGTACCTCGGCAGCGGCCCGGACGTCAGTTCGCAAAGCAGCCCAAGAGGAATAGAACCCCCCAAAAAAACCAAAGACTGAAAAGCCGATCTTTTTCACGGAAGACGATGCGCGAGGGGTCCACTACCCCCATGATGACGTGCTTGTCATTAAACTAAGGATCAGTGACTTCGAGGTCAGGCGCGTACTCGTAGATTCGGGCAGCTCGGCGGACATCCTCTTCAAGTCAGCATTTGACCAGCTGCAGCTACAGAGGAGCGAGCTGAGGCCCGCGAACACTCCCCTGGTGGGCTTCAGCGGAGAGGAAGTCAGGCCCCTCGGAAAAATAACTGTACCTGTGGAAGTCGACACATGGCCTTGTGCGGTCAGACTCAACCATGATTTCCTGGTGGTCGCGACCCCCTTCCCATACAATGCCATAATAGGGCGGCCAATTACGCATATCCTGCAGGCAGTGGTCTCCACATACTATTTGGCAATGAAGTTCCCTACAGACTTCGGTGTGGGGGTAGCGCGGGGCGACCAGCTCGAGTCCCGCAAGTGTTATGTTGCCGCCCTGAAGGGAAAAACCAAGGTGGCTGACGACCTTGAACTGGAACGGCCTACAGAGCAAGGCGAGGAACAAACTTCGCCCACAGAGGAAACGGTCGTAGTCCCGACTTCGGCTACAGACCCAGCTCGCACACTACAGATCAGTGCTTCCGTCAAGGAGCCACTACGAACCAAACTGTTAGACCCATCAGACAGAAGAAACGCAACTTAGCCCCAGAACGCTGGAGGGTGGTCGACGAGGAGATTGAAAAGCTCCTCGCAACAGGTTTCATAAGGGAAGTTCATTACCCGAGCTGGGTAGCCAACCCATTGCTGGTGAAAAAGGCAAACGACAAGTGGCACATGTGCGTCGACTACACCGACCTGAACCGAGCTTGCCCAAAAGATTGCTTTCCCCTCCCCAGAATTGACCGCCTAGTAGACGCGACCTCGGGACATGAGTTGCTAAG